CCATGAGTGCGAGAGAGACAGAGCGATGACTCTGGGAATGAGGCGGCAGGCGCCTGCAATGGAGAGGGTAGGCCGCACGCCGCGCACCGACGCGCCGACCCGATGGGCTGCCTACCCCGCAGGCTGAGGCCAGCGCCGCGCAGTGTGCCAGAAGACCGGTGGAGGCGGCCGAAACCCTAGACGCGTTTTGAGCTGCAGAGTCGCTAAACGGGACTCGAACCGAACGTGTGACCCCACCGATGGATTGCTCTCCGAACGAGGAATCCATTGGTGGGGTCACACGTCCGGTTCGAGCCCTGGCTCGCGATAGAGGCGGAACAATCGCGGAAAATCACCGACGAGTCTGCTGTCAACACACCGAGTTGGTAGTCTGCAAAGTCCCGCTGCCAATCAACCGCCAATGCGTTGGCGGGCTCACGCCGCCGCCTCCGCAAACAGGGCTGTCTTCGCCTCGGCCGCCTCGGTGCCCCGCACCGCGATGTGTGCGCTCGAACTTTTAACGACGGCGTGGCGCGGCGAGGCGTGGCGTGCGGCGACACAGTCGCAGCGCCGCTAAGTAGGACTAGACTAACATATGATACGGATATCTCACACGACCGCGGTGCCAAGCGCGCCCAAGTTGTCGTGTGTGTGTGGTGTGTGTTCCGCCCCCTACTTCGTCGTCCTTGGGGCCCTGCGTCTCTTCCTCCCGCACCACACTGTGAAAAAGAGAGTCGGTGTCGGTACTCCGCGCGCGGAGGTGGGTTCGCCGTCGCCCCGCCGTCGTCGCAGAGTCTCTCGCGCGTGGAGTACCGCTGCCGCCGCTGGTCAGCGCCTCGGCTGGGCCAGGCGCGTGCAAGAGAGACAGACTGACGGTGGACGCGTGGCGCGGCCACACACAAGGCCGTGCGTTTGATGGCCCCACCGAAACAAGATCGGTCAGTAATTGTTATCCCAGTGCTTCGGCGGCCCGCTGTGGCAGCAGAAAGGCGGGACAGTCAGGCAGGCAGCCAGCAAGGCGGGGCATAAAAGACTCGTCCTCCCCGCCGCTGCCGCCGCCACCGCTATCTCGACCAATCTCGATTTATTAGTGCTCAAACGGATCGTTTCTGTTTACAGTGGTGATCGTAAGGGTCCTTATGAGCGGGGCCGTGTCGCGCTGCCGAAGCGTATCGCACCGTCTCTCTCTCTCTCTCTCTCTCTCTCTCTCTCTCTCTCTCTCTCTCTCTCTCTCTCGTACGCTCCGCCGTGAGTGCGACAGAGACGGAGCGACGCGCTCTCGGAATCGCCGCCTCGGCCGCGTAAATCATTTGCTGCGGCCTTTTTATCGCTCCAGTCGTAAATATTTTTCAATAGATCGTCGTTCTCTGGCCAGCAGCAGCACAGCAGCGCGACAGCGGCGACGCCCGCCCGGCCAGTCACTTGGTGGAGTCCCACGATAGCGCGGCCAGCAAACAGGAAACAGCGAGGGAGAAAAAATTTCAATTTTGAATTTATTTTTCAATCGAAGCACTGTGTGTGTACTCTACATCGATACTTTTTTCACCGCGGCGCGTACAGCTTGTTTACCCAGTGGTGCCGGGCTTTCCTCACACCGGGCTCCGACCAGGATGGACAACACTGCGGTTCTGCCGTGCCGTGCCGTGCCGGGCTCCGCCACCGAGGACGCCAGCCACGCCAGCGGCAGGTTCAGGGAGTAAGAACTGCCTGGCCCCTCCGGCCCGCCCACCACGCAGGCCACAGCCGCACAGCGAACCGCGCCAAGTTCGGGACGTCCGCAAACACAGCAGCAGATTGCCTGTTAATCCCCTGGAAAGCGGAGACCCTCCTCTCCCAGCCCAGCAACGGCCCCGCAGTGGGCCAGAAGACCGGTGGAGGCGGCCGAAACTCTAGACGCGTTTTGAGCTCCAGAGTCGCTAAGCAGGCCTCGAACCGAACGTGTGACCCCACCAATGGATTCCTCGTTTGGAAAGCAATCCATTGGTGGGGTCACACGTTCGGTTCGAGTCCCATTAGCGACTCTGGAGCACAAAACGCGTCTAGAGTTTCGGCCGCCTCCACCGGTCTTCTGGCCCACTGTGCGGGCGGGCAGCCAGGCAGACACGCCTCAGGGACGGACGCCACGGCCGGTGCACCGTGTGGGTTGGGTTCAGGACGGGGGTCGAGTTAGGCTCGAAAATTAGAAAATTAGATGGGGAAGCAATAATATGGCGGCAGGGACAGGCCGGGGCGGGGCGGGGCGCCCTGACACACAGCTGGGGGCGATGCGACCTAATCGCTCATCCAGCCGCAGCCCTGACGGCCGCTCACGGCCGCACAGTCCTCGCGACCAACACGTCCACAAACTGTTTTCACATTCATTACGTTCCGTTTGCACAGCGGTTTACCGGAGTGGCACGCCCTCGGCCACGCCACTGCAGAGGCCCGATGTGGTCCTCTAACGTGACTAGCGAAGAACCAGCGGAGCGTGAGTTTCCCAAGCCGCATTCGAAGTCACTCAAGCGAGGAGCACAGTACCCGTACCCCCGGGGCCTTGGGCTATGCAGGGTTTTGTTCTCAATTTTTTTCCCAGCAGGCGCACAGTGTGCCAGAAGACCGGTGGAGGCGGCCAAAATTCTAGATGCGTTTTGAGCTCCAGAGTCGCTAAATGGGGCTCGAACCGAACGTGTGACCCCACCAATGAATTGCTCTCCGAACGAGGAATCCATTGGTGGGATCACACGTTCGGTTCAAGTCCTGTTTAGCGACTCTAGAGCTCAAAACGCGTCCGAAAGTTTGGCCGCCTCCACCGGTTCTCTGGCCTACTGTGAGCCGCGCGTCATCGGAGGTCCTCCAGGAGTCCGACTCCCAGCACGACCGATTGGCACATTTCCTCGCAGCACCTGCCCGAGCTGCCCCATTTCCACTGTCCTTGTCGCACGCACGGGCCGCCCCGTAGGGGTGCGAGAGAGAGGGGGAGGGTCGGCGCGCTCGGACGGCCATCTAGTCGCGAAGGGCCTCGTCATGGCGGGGGCGGCGCGGGGCGCGGAGGGGAGGGGCGGCGACTGAAAGGGCCGGGACCTGCTGGGCCCCGCTGGGCCCCACTGGCCGCGACGTTATCGTTCCGTGATTGATTTCATGCGAGGTAAGCGGATAGGGCGAGACGCGACGCGGGCGGGCGGACGGACGGACAGGCAGACAGACCGAGCGGCGGGGCAACTTTGGCGGCAAAGAAATCCGGGATCCCTCCGCGTCCCAGCCATCCACGCAAAGTGCAGCGGCAGCCGCCTTCTCCTCGCTCTCATTAACCTGCGGCTGGTGAGACAAGGACGGAAGCTGCCCGATCGTCCGCCGCACCTGTTGGAGCGGCGCACAGTGGGCCAGAAGACCGGTGGAGGCGGCCAAAACTCTAGACGCGTTTTGAGCTCCAGAGTCGCTAAACAGGACTCGAACCGAACGTGTGACCCCACCAATGGATTCCTTGTTCGGAGAGCAATCCATTGGTGGGGTCACACGTCCGGTTCGAGTCCCATTTAGCGACTCTGGAGCTCAAAACGCTTCCGGGGTTTTGACCGCCTCCGCCGGTCTTCTGGCCCACTGCGCGGCGGCGCTCTGTCTCTCTCGCACCCTTCGGGACGCCCCGAGGGTGCGAGGGAGACGGGTCGCGCTGGCCGGCGGGGTCATAACAAGTACTCGAAGAGGGTTGTCAACGTCGCCGAGCTCCTCGACGGCGCCGCAGCCTTATCGCGCCCAGCCCTTACTCAAGGGTATGATTCATGTGCCCGCCCCGCCCCGCCTCGCCCTCAGCGCCCTCCGTCCGGTGCCAGGCAGCGTCGCCGTTTTTGTCTCCAAGGCAAACGGACAGACGGACGGACAGACAGACAGACAGAAAGCAGGGCAAGGCTTGGGGGATTGTGGTCGCGGAGGTCCCCGTCGTCCTCCCCCTTTGTGGCGGCCAGGCCCTGCCCGGCCGGACGGCCCGGCAGACTGATTCCGAGAGTCGTCGCTCTGTCTCTCTCGCACTCACGGGGCGTTCCGTACAGGCGCGAGAGAGACAGAGCGACGAAGACGACTCTCGGAACCGGGCGGGGCAGGCCATGCCCATGCCGAAAGAAGCAGCTCGACGGGGACCGGCCGTCTTTGCAGGTCACCGAGGTGCTCCACAAGGCGAAGCCGAAAGGGCGCGGCGGGGCGGGGCGGGGCGGGGCGGGGCGCGGCGGCCCTTATACTGCCCTTTCTATTATCGGAAAGCCATAAAGCTACATAATCCCCGCAATAAATGGTGTTTTAGCGCGGCTAGTGCGCGCGGCCGCACTCCCGTTATCGGCGAGGTCCTCTCCGAGGACTCCCAGGCCGACTCGTCACGGAAGGGAAAAGCGTCCTCCGGCGCCGGGATTCGAACCCGCGACCCTTCCACCTTCTTGGAAGGGCCACGAGGGCGGCGCTCGACTCCTACACCGTAACACAGCACAGACAGCATCCCAGTGCAGGGGCCGCATTGCCTGCTTCGCCCTGGGCTAGTAATGGAGTAAGAGCGAGGGAGAGAGAGAGAGAGAGAGAGAGAGAGAGAGAGAGAGAGAGAGAGAGAGAGAGAGAGAGAGAGAGAGAGAGAGAGAGAGAGAGAGAGGCAGCCCATCACATCGACCCGGGACCACCAATCGAGTTATTTCGCCTGGCGCCCTGAGCAGTGCGGTGCCGTGCAAGCACACTGTTACCGTCTTCTCTGGCCCAGTCACTCTGTCTCCGTCGCACTCACGCGCGAGCGAGACAGACTCTTCAGCATCAGCCTGCATGCGCTTCAAAGCTAATTACCACTCTAAAATAGTGGAGTGGCGAGCACGTGTCGGGGAATACATAATGAGATGCAGAAACTAAAGTTTTCCGCTGACGCTCGACTTTTGGTCGTTGTTGTCGTTTTCGGCTGCAGCACAGCGCTTTGCGGACTCTTTCCAGGCAAAACTGCAGAACAATGGTCTCGCCACGGCGTGTCGCAGATTGACTCGTGGTGACGTCATCGACGAATGATTGGCTGGCCGACTCACCACTTGACGCTCTTGAGAGTGGCGGGGTTGGCCTCGTACTGGCAGAACAGCAGGATGTCGGTGGACTCGTTGACGGTCACGTTGTCGGGAGTCACCGACACGATGGGCGGGTCTGAAACCACAAGTATCACACACGTTAAAATAAAAAATCAACACACGACTCTTGTCTGAAAGAGGAAGTTGCCACAGATGAAGCCGGCCATTTTTTTTTGTTTCCATAACCCCACTTTCGCTCCACGCGAGACGCTGCAGCCAGATCCCGAGGGCCGTCTTCCTAGCTCTGTCTTTGTCGCTCTCGCGGGGCGTGCCGTACAGGTGCGAGAGAGACAGAGCGACCACTCTCAGTCTGCAGGTGAGCTCACTCGCAAAGACGGAAAGACGGAGGCGGAAGCAAAGTGCGAAAGTAATATCCTCCGCGCGACCCTACACCGTGCGCCACCGCGCTCAAGAGGGCCGCGTCCGAAAAACACACACGCACACACACGCACCATTCCTGCAACTTTATTTCGAGGGGCTGCGGGGGGACTTTAAGGCGGCGGGGCAGTCGGCCGAGCCGGGTCGGAAATTGCACCGGCAGAAACAGATGAATAACAAGCCGACCGCGCGGACCCTCTCTCTCTCTCTCTCTCTCTCTCTCTCACACACACACACACACACACACACCACACACACGTGGGCGCGTCCCGTCAGGCCGTCAGCAGAGTGCGAGAGAGACGAAGATCCAAGCAGTGTTCGGAATCGGACCGCCGCTGCAAGTGTGTACCGCAACGTGGGTGGTGGGGACTACGGCGGAAGGTGGGCGTGGGCGTGCGTGTGTGTGTGTGTGTGTGTGCACCCCACGTGGTCGCGGCGGGCTTCCCAGATGAAGATAGCGGGACGGCATACATGCGCGCGCGCGGAACGCGGAGATGAGGCGATTTGAGGAACGAGAGGGAAAAGTTTTGGACGGAGAAAGTCGATTGCAAAGTTGCTATCCGGGACGAATTTCTCATACGGCGATCCCAAGTACGCGCCGCGCGGCGGCGGGGAAGTATATGGTGCAGCGTGTGTGTGTGTGTGTGTGTGTGTGTGGGGGGCTTCGCCGGGAGGGGCCGGGAGACAGAGCCAAGAGCTCGAGGGGCACCAAGACGTGACGTTTAATTAGACTCCTTTAGCCCGAGGGGTATGGAAAAGGAGAGGTCAGGCCAGCCTCGCACGGGGAAGCCTAGCTAAGCTAGCCTCTCGAGGGGGGGGGGGGGCGGCGCACACAAATGATGCAGCAGGAGCGCATTGCAGTGCAACCCACTCTCTCTTCCTCTCTCGCCCACACGCGAGACGCGGACAATTCACCAACAAAAGGGTTAGAGGAAAAAAAAACTATAAAAAGGAATAAAAATAATAAAAGTAGTGGGAGAAAAAATAAAAGCATACTACAATACGAAGTGAGATACACCCCCATTGGGTGCAACGTTTTGAGTCCGTGGCAGGAACGCTTAGCAAGCGGGGGGTATACGATCTCGGGCGAAAGTGAAATTGCTACGTTCCTGGGTTCAAATACCGCTAACGGATTTTTTTCCACGCGTTTCTTTTTATTATGCAACCCTAATGACTTCGGGCTCACACATTCGCAGGGGACAACGCGTGGCCGCATTTTGCACCTCGTGTGTCCAGGGCGGAGCCAGGGGGGGGAGAGGGGGGGGCTGTGTCAACGCAAGCTGGGGCAGCTCGCCACTCACTGCTAATTAAAGGAGCGCCAGGCCCTTGTCAGTGCACTGTCAGTGCTGGCCGCTCCCTTATTGACCGCATAACAGCGGACCGATTCCGAGAGTCGTTTTCGTCGCGCTGTCTCTCTCGCGCTCACGGGCACCCCGCGGGAGGGACAGAGCGACGAAAGCGACTCTCGGAATCGGTCGGCCGAACGCGCCAGCTGCCCGGTGTCAATAAAGAGTGCGGCTCCCTCGCCGAGAGCGTCTCGCCAAGCCTCTCGGAAGAAGTGTCACGTTTTCGCTGATGAAACCGCACCGGCGTCGCACAGTGGGCCGGAAGACCGGTGGAGGCGGACAAAACTCTAGACGCGCTTTGAGCTGCAGAGTCGCTATACAGGACTCGAATCGAACGTGTGACCCCACCAATGGATTCCTCGTTCGGAGAGCAATCCATTGGTGGGGTCACACGTTCGGTACGAGGCCTGTCTAGCGACTCTGGAGCTCAAAACGCGTCTACATTTTTGGCCGCCTCCACCGGTCCTCTGGCCCACTGTGCGTCGTGGTGGTACACTGCCAGGAAATGTCCGCCCGGATTCGGCCGTCGGCGTGCGACGGCCAGGAACACGCGTCCCGTGGACGGACTTGTAGGTCCTCCGTTGTGCACACGATCATCCAGGGGTGTAACTGAGTAGCGCGGGGGACGCCGTAGGGCACCACCATGCTCATGTCCTCCCCTCCCTTGTGGGGCTTGACGGCTGCCCCTCAGCGCTGCGGTGCGCGCCATGGCCAGCGCGCTGATGCCGAGGGTCGTTTTCGTCGCTCTGTCTCTCTCGCACCAGCAAGGGACGCCCCATGAGTGCGAGAGAGACAGAGCGACGAAAACGACGCTTGGAATCAGACTGCAGCCATGGGCAGCCATGAGCGGCGAGTACGTTTCGAAAAAATGTCGAGTGAACCTCCTGTTTATACCGTGCCACATTCGTTTAAACGTGACGTCAGATTCGCTGACAAACAGTGCCGTGCCCGTTTGTCAACAAACCGCACTCGAAGGTCAGCACATCCACTGGTCGAACGGTCGACACACCGCAGCATTACCGAGACCTTCAAACGGCGGCCTCCCTCCAGTGTCGCTGTCTCTCTCACACCCACGCGACGTGCCGTGCGGGTCCGCACCGCCCCGCCGGGGCAACCTAACCTCACCTCACCGCAGTGCGTTCGGTTCGGCCGGGCCCGAGCGACCGCAGAGCGCCGCACAGCGCCGCACAGCGCCGCACCGCACGCAAAGATGCCAGCGTTCCAAGGTGACCGTTGGGCCCCCCATCTGCCCGCCCCGGGGCCCAGCCAGGCCCAGGCCGCAGCGGGGTTGTTGGGCACCACATCACTATCAGTCACTTAATTAAATTCCAATTTGAGGCCTCCGAGGCGGCCGGCCGGTGAGGTCGTGACGGAGCGGACCGAAGCCTGCCGGGTGGAGAGCGAGCGAGCGCAGCGCCGCGTTGCCAGCGCCCTCCGACGGCAGACGCGCGAAGCTCCAAGCCTGCTGCGCCACAGTGTGCCAGAAGACCGGTGGAGGCGGACAAAACCCTAGACGCGTTTTGAGCTCCAGAGTCACTATACAGGACTCGAACCGAGCGTGTGACCCCACCAATGGATTCCTCGTTCGGAGAGCAATCCATTGGTGGGGTCACACGTTCGATTCGAGGCCCAGTTAGCGACTCTGGAGCTCAAAACGCGTCTAGAGTTTTGGCCGCCTCCACCGGTCTTCTGGCGCACTGTGCGCGCGCTGCCGAAGCAGCAGACGTCATCAGGGCGACCGCTGCGCTCGCTACGTGCCGCAGCGCGATCGCGGTTCGCGGCGTGCACTCGGTTCTCCCCGCCACATTTCACGTTCCGTTCCACGTTCCGTTCCACGCTCCGTTCCACGCTCCGTTCCACGCTCCGCGTTTCACAGGTCGCCGCGAAAAGTGGAAATAAAGCAAACCGTAAATCACGCGGCGGCCCCGGAAAGGAAGGCCTGGACGCCGGGATGAAATTCGATTAGTTTTCATCGGCGATGAGGAAAACATTCCCTTTCTTGAGAGCTTTGGGGCGTTCCGTGGAGCGGCTCTCCGGAACGGGGTCGCGGCCCCGGGAAAAAGGGAGGGGGCGTCGGCGGGATTCGAACCCACGCCGCCGAGTGGCCGTCATCTTTCTCGCTGAAAGATAGGTTATTTATGCCTCGCGCCAAGTTTGTGGCGAGTCTACCTTGCCGCCAGGAAGGTGGGTCGCAGGCAAACAAAGACCGGTAGAAGGGGTCAAAATCCTGGACGCGTTTTGAGCTCCAACCGAACGTGTGACCCCACCAATGGATTGCTGTCCGAACGAGCAATCCATTGGTGGGGTCACACGTTCGGTTCGAGTCCTGTTTAATGACTCTGGAGCTCAAAACGCGTCGAGAATTTTAGCCGCCTCCACCGGTCTTCTGGCCCACTGTGGAGCGAGCCGCTCTTCAAAACTAAAACCAGCCAGTTGGCGTGCTGCTGCAAGGGCGGCACGGACGCTGAGCCAGATTTGTGTCACTCGCTCGGTGCAAAGGCCATGGCGGAGGGGGAGGGGAGGGGGAGGGGGAGGGATGTCCCAGCTGGACCCGGTGTCAATGCTAGAGTGCTGTCCTGCAGATCGGGCGCACCAAAACGAAAAAGGGCCCCAGCAGGCCGAGCTGGGCGACACCACTACCGTGTGGCACTCTGGTGTTCTTTGCCCGCGGCCGGCTGGCTGGTTCTTTTTACCGGGCTGCCGTTTATTTTTCGGTCCGGTCGTCCCATTTGACTAAAAAGCGACCAGCTGGCGGGCTGCGCTCGCTGCACGTGTGTTTTTCCTCGTGAAAATGGTGGAAATGGGAAATGACCCTCGCGGCCTCGTCCGTGTTTACCGCCTCCAAGTCTCCAGATCCCGCAAGTCCGATCCTCAGCCCTCACTCGCCCGCGAAAAACACGGGGGAAAACAACAACAAAAAACAAGCAAAAAACAGCACTCATTGCCATACATTTTGCGACTCGCCCCTCCACCGCCGCCCCACCTACCGAATGTCTTTATCATTTCAAAAAACACGCCGAGGGGAGCTCTGACCTTGCGTTACATTCATTGCGTTTCTTTGCCGCTGGCGTAATGCCGCTTTCATCGGCCACATCATTGCAGTGCCTTTCACGCCCTCCCCCACTCCTACCCCCACTCCCACTCCCACCCCCCACCCCCTTTCCTCTCCGGAGCATGAGCCTGCGAAGAACAACGAGCAGAATCAGCAGCGTGGCAGTTAGTTTTCTTTCTTCCTTCATAACGTGGTCCTCTATGCCACGATTTCTGATTTCTTTTTAAAGAAAAATATTTATTTTACCAGTGCAGTCCGCTGCCAGGTGCATCTGGTGGGCACTTGAGCCCCCACTCCTTG